CAGCAGCAGCAGCAGCAGCAGCAGCACCATTCTATGAAGATGGAGTCCTCTTCAGAAGAGAATTCTTCTGCTGGCAGCAGCAAATTGGGATTGCATGCAGAGAGGAAGGTGAGGGGGTCAGCAACAAAGTAGAGAATCTCTGCAGCAGCAAATTAAAAAGAAATGAATATTTAGATTAAATTAAATTAAATTAAATTATTTATTTATTTGTTTATTTAAATATATTATTATTTATACATCAATAAACACAAATTTTGGAATTAAACGCAGAGACACAGTGGCAGTGGATCGCTCGCAACTCCACACTAGCCCTAAACCCTAAACCCTAAACCCTAAACACCAAACCCTAAACCCTAAACCCTAAACCCTAAACCCTGAAGTTCCACCTAAGGACAGCTTCGTTCTTCAGCTCTTCGCAGCTCCACTGAAGCCTAAACCCTAAACCCTAAACCCTAAACACCAAACCCTAAACCCTAAACCCTAAACCCTAAACCCTTTACCTTCTTTTATCACAGAAAGGTTCCACCTAAAGACAGCTTCTTTCTTCAGCTCTTCGCAGCTCCACTGGATCATTTGGACCCAAGGGTAAAAGGCGTCTTGGAGTCCTCCTAAGAAATAAATAAATAAATAAATGAATAAATAAATAAATAAATAAATAAAATAATTAATTAATTAATTAAAATAAATAAATGTAAAAAATTAAAAATGGAGAAAAAGGAGTGGAGATAGTGGGCGGCGGGGCCCCACTGGGCAACCGTATGCTGCTGCTGCTGCTGCTTTCTTTTCCGTGCTGCTGCTGCTGCTGCTGCTGCTGCTGCTTGTGTTACGGCTGCTGCCCTTTCGGTGGCTGCTGCTGCGCCTGCCTATCTTCTGTATCTGCGCTTCCTAATTTGCTCTACCCTTCTGGTGGCACCGCTGCTCTTGCTGCTGCTGCTGCTGCTGTTGCTGCTGCTTCTGCTGCTGCTGCTGCTGCTGCTGCTGCTCACCATCTGCGAGGTCGATTTCTCGGGCCTCCTTTCGGGCCTCCCTGCCCACAATGGCCCCCATGAGTTGGGGTGTACATACACCTCGGAGAGTCTCCCAGAGAAGGTGCTGCGCTGCAGCAAATGTCTACAGCGCGTTTTGCTGCTGCTGCTGCTGCTGCTGTTGCTGGCGGTCCCGCTGCCTCAGCTGTCGCAGCAGCTGCGCCTCTTGCTGCCGCTGTTGCCGGCCCTGCTGCGTTTGCTCTGAAAGAGAAAGTCAAATAATTTGCAGCAGCAGCAGGATCAGCAGCAGCAGCAGCAGGATCAGAGGCAGGATCCGCAGCAGCAGCAGCAGCAGCAGCACTCGGGGCCGTCTGTTGCGTGCCTGCCTGCGACAGCCCTCACACAGGCCACCAGTGAGCGCTGCTTCTTATTTGTTTTAGTTTGGCTGCAGGCGAAGATCTAGCTGCAGCAGCAGCAGCAGCAGCTGCAGCAGCTGCAGCAGCTGCAGCAGCTGCAGCAGCAGCAGCAACGGACCGCAACAGGGTGTCTCGGCTGCTGCCTCTTTCGTTGTGTCCTCGAAAATAATTTGAAGGCTTCTTTCAAAGTTGCAGGAGAAGCGAGAGGAGCAGCAGCAACCTCCAGGGGCCCCAAACCCTAAACCCTAAACCCCAAACCCTAAGGCTAGACCCTCCTCAAGCCCGGGGGCCCCTGCGCCTGCCCCCGAAACTCGCGGCTTTGCTTCTGTCCTTTCGTTTTATTAAATAAAAACAATTTTATAAATTAAAAATAATTATTTAATTCTTTAAATAAATACATTTTGCTTTCCAAACCCTCAAAACCCTCATCTCCGGCCGCGAGGGGCCCCCTACACGCCAAACCCTCAACGCTGAGCCCAAACCCTAAACCCTTAACCCTAAACCCTAGAGCCAAAGCCCTGGCCCTAAACCCTGAGCCCTGAACCCTAAACCCTAGCTCCTGAGCAGGAGCGACTACAGCCAAACCGAGGCCCCAGAATCCCAAACCCTAAACCCTAAACCCTGAACCCTAAACCCTAACCTGCTGTCCAAACCCCAAGCCCTGCCCTGCTGCCATGAGGTAGGAGGCCCCCCGAGGCCCCCGGGGGGCCCCCCTTGCTGCTGCTGCTGCTGCTGCTGCTGCTGTGGGCAGCAGAGAATGGCTCTCCATCCCCTCAAGTCAATGTATCGGCGGCAGCAGCAGCAGCAGCCGCTGCTGCTGCTGCTGTCGCTGCTGCTGCTTCTGCTTCCTGCTGCTGCAGCAAGGCGGGGGCAGGGCTGCGCAGGGGGCCCCCAGCTTTGCTTCCTAAGCAGCAGCCTGCTGCTGCTGGGGGCCCCCATGGGGGGCCCCCGGGGGGCCCCCCCCTCTCACTTGGGGGCCCCCATTCGGCAGTGTGAATTCGGTAGAGGGGCCAGCAGCAGCAGCAGCAGCAG